AAAAAAAAAAAAAAAAAAAAAAAAGAGGGCAAAATTAATAATTTAGAATTGAAAAATGTAAAAATACTGAGAGATGGCATATAGCAACAAAACACATGGATGGAAAGATTCAAAGCTTGGTGGGTCTTTACCAGTTATCTCTACTGATACCTACATATGAATTTACACAATGGAGTATGATTTTCAACCACAAGGGTAGTAGGAAATCAATGATGGAAATTAAGAAGCTATACAGTAATATGTAATCTATTAAAGTAAAACCAGAAAATATTATATATACACACACACAATTCTCTCCTGAACTTTACAAATTTAACGAAGAATAAGAATAATTTAGATATAAAATCAACTAAACACTGTCAAAACAATACAAAAAACCTCAATGTCAGAATGACCAATTTTATTGAGAATGCCTAATCAGCCTTAGAAAGTAATTCTAACAAAAGAGAAAAAACAACTCAAGTTCAAAAATAAGTAAAATAAAAGCCTTGAATGTTAAGTTAAAAATCTCAGTCAGGAAGTAAGCCAAAATGTGGTTTGGAATTTTCAGATAAATTGATTTTCCGAAAAGAGTATATTCCTTAGGTCCACTCCATAACTGAAGGCTTGGTGAAATAATACTGAATTCTACTAAAACTAACTAAGTCTGTATTAAGAAATAATTGAACTGGACACAAAGTGTAATTAATATACAATGAAAACAATCTTTATTCAAACACAGTGCATGTACTTGTGTTAGATACTGAACAGTAGTCTTTATTTGAGTTGTGATCAGGTTGAATCTACTTCTCCAAAACTTGTTTCAATGCTGACCAACCAACAAAAGATGATGTTGCAGACACACTCAAAATATCCAACCACTATATTGTTTTGTGCTTGACCAACTGGAATTTTAGTTATTCGGTATGCTTCACTAAGTAATATTAGATCTTATGTTTCACTATTGTATAAACAAAATCTGAACTTTGAGCAAAGTGTTTACAATTTAATTGAAAGACTTACCTTTGCCATTTGAGCTTGTACCCCTTGTGCTTGAAGTAATTTAACAGCATTTTCTGCTTCCAATGGAGATTCAAAATCCACAAAGCCATAACCTAAATATTTGTCAAAGCATAAACCTTAAACTCTGAAATTTTCTCACAGCTAAATTGTCAAGAGCAATATGACAATTACCAGCTAACTAGAAAATAATAAAACAAAAAAAAATTGTGGATATAGTACATCTGTGAATAAATATATACACTTGAGAAGCTTTATCAATTTATACTGGGTATATTTCATTAACAGTGTCTTTAGTAATTTACTTTGCTGGTTATTATGGTTTATCTCATACCTTTGCACTGATTCGTAGTTTTATCCAGTATTGCTTTTGTTGAAATAATTGTGCCATAGCTGAAAAATAATATAAATACATATATCTAAACACTCATATACATAGACATACACACATGAAACACTGTTACAATGTATAACACCAAACCAAATCAGTTTAATTAGTTTAGATTTATCATTTTGAACGTTATTAACAACATAAATAACCTTACAACTTATTCTACCTTACAATGGTGGAAAAACTATTTATAAGGATTATATGTTATGTAGAAATTAGATTTTTAATATAGTTTGCATTTAAAATAAAATTATGTTTACTGTAAAAATTTCAATGGCAAAGTAGCCCTTAAGCAAATGAATAAATAGTATAAAAAAGCATAAACGGTATTACAAAATGCTTGCAACAGGTTACTAACATACAGAACACTATTTTTCCCCAATATCACAAATTTTATCTTTTAAGTGTTCTACTTCTACAAAAGAGACAAACATTCCTTTCAACTGTTTAAAACAGAGCCTATAATATCCTAAACTATACATTTTTATACAATATCAAAATGAAAATCACTTGGATTAGAAGAACCATGCAATCTTCTTTACAAACGATAGTCATTGGCCAGTGAAGAAAAGAAAGTTAAAATCTAGACCATGTACCGATAAGTTTAAAAGGTGGATGGAAAAGAAGCATTAAAACACTTCACCGTGTGTTCACAATGTTATCTTACATTCAATCAAGTGCAGGGAAATGATGTTATTAATCTTCCAGAAATATCTATGCTAAGCATTATTCATGTAACATGTCAAAATTGATAATTTAAATGTATATTTTTCAAGAACAAGCTAAAGTAACTTTTAACTTTTGTGATATGAAGTGCAGACTGATGGATGAAATGAAATGCGCTGGTGAGCCTACAACTTTAATGACATTTTTTTTTTATATTTATAATTCACAGTTAAATACACAACTGATTTCAGTTTTGCCTAATTTGAAAGTTCTAATGGAGCAATTAAGATTTTCATTGGTAACTGCAGACAGATAAAATAAATGTGACATTATTCAAGATTTTGCAAATAACTTCAAATTGTACAAGAATAACAAGATATTAAGTTACTAAGGCATGAATTTTCATTTTTTTTAAGATATTTCTAGTAGCTTCAAACTTTCATGAACAGACTATTTCTTTATCTTTTACAAATGACAATACATTATACTTTAATGTTCATGTAATTTTTCTTTAAGTAAGGGATATGTTGATTGCACAATTAAGAAAACACCTCACCATCTGGGACACTACCCACTATATCTACTTAATATATAGTTACATATTTTAAACATTCATATATGGTTGGGTTGCATTAATCTCTAAATTTTCATCAACATAACCGAAAACTATTTTTACTGGAACTTTTTTTTTAATCTATATTCCCGAAAACACCTAACCAATTGGTTTGTCTTTGAATTTTTGTATATCTCTGGTAGCTTCTTGGGGAAACCCTTTCAGACTGATAAGATATGTAAACCTTAACTTTTAATTTACATTTTTCAAAAACATAGCAACCTGGATGATTCACTTTCTATAAATAATTGATTGTGTGTTTGTTCAGAGTTGATTTTTATAACTTGATTTACTATGATTTGATTCTACTGAACCTTTCCATCAAATTATTATATTTAAATTTAAGTAAGGTTTGTTTGAGAGGTTGAGATTTAATAGAGCAGTTGATCACTGGATGTATTCAACTGTAATTTGAGAAATTGCTTTACTGATAAACAGTCTTTAATTTCTGACTTGTGTTTACGAAAAAGGTAAGTGTACTCAAATGGTCTTCAAATGCTTCTACCATTCTTAATCTAATACCTTTATGAGTTAACAGTGTTTAAATGTCAAAATTAGGTACACAGGTAATGAATAAAAATATATCTTCTTGCCAATGCTGATATGCAGGTACATAACATGGCAACAAGCATCATCACATTATCATATACTGCCAACATCAAGCACTGCTTCTAATGTATTGAAGCTGTCAACAAACACTGTTATACTATTACATCATATCTTAAAGACGAGAACAAAGTCTACCAAAGTAATTTCACTATAAAATACCTTAAGTAATAAGTAACTGATTTTAACAAGTTAGAACAACCAAAGAAACATTTAAAAATTTACAATTATTTAGCCATAATACGTGCACTTTGTGCTATAAATGTGCAAAAAATAAAAATATTCATAATAACAACAAGATATTTTGAAATTAGATTCTTTCTAAAATACATGCTTTAACTGAGGACTTGTAAAAACTGTTAATTTTAAGATTTAATGCATTATAATGTGTGATAAAATTTCTACTCTTGATTTGCAGTCTATCTTCACAGTTCTTAGAGGAACTCTACTTATTAATCCTAATACTTAAAAGCAGTCAAAAATATAAAATGCTTCACAAGTAAACTTATAATTTTACATGTAGCCTAGCAACCCTGGTGATTTCTGGTATTGATTGAAAGGCTTCATCAATGGAGGTTTAAAAGTTTAGTGGATGTTATACCTTTTCACTAATCTTACCAGAAATAATTAAACTTTGACAGTGAAGTACAAGAAGAAAATACATTGAAAGTTTGACAAGGTTGTTGTACCATACTTAAAAATATGAAAGATATGTGGTTAATAATCATACATCAGCAAATATTTAATGACCATCTTAAAAAGTGTTATATTTAAACACTGGGGTTTTTGTATCCAAGTTGGCTACATCAACACTGATACTAAGCCATTGCACAGAATTATAACATATAGTGTTGGGAAGTTAAGAGTAAATTGACAAAAAGAGTGTGTGTGTGTGTTCAGAAAACTTACTTTTAATAAATGTACAATAAATTTATGTTAATAGATTCTATAGATAAATCTATTCTTAGAAACACAAAGTGATATTAATAACAAACATTTTGATTTTTGTTGAGTGTAATCAAGAAAAAAACAAAATAATAATAATAATAGATATTAACAAATCACATTCATATAGTGAAAATACTTACGGGGCACACATATTTAACAAGTCTTTGTCAGTTGTACTCTGAGTAAGCCCTCGAATGTACAAGTTAGTCTTGCTAAGCTGATCAACACTGTTTGATCCTCCCCCACCAGATCCAGAGCCAGACACAGAGCTGGAGTGAGAACCAGATCCTCCAGTACTGCTCCCTGAGACAGGAGGTGAAGTGGAAGGAACCCAAGCATTTGAATATGCCTACAATAAAAAAATGAAATTACTGATGAGAGGTGCATTATCATGTACTGAATATATAAAAAGATTAAAAAGTATGTTTATAAAATACCAAGCAAAGAATAATTAACTGACACTCAACATCTTACAAGACTTTTAAAAAAATTATACCGAGCTCTATCTAACAGGAAACATATTTTGAAGCACAATATGAAACCAAATGCAACACCTATGGGTTTCTATGCAATCAGACTGTTGAAATGAATGTTAGGTAACTGTTGTTCTACTACTAGATGGATTGTAGAAAGCAATCAGGGAGGTGGTGTGCTTTGGACATAAACGTTTTAAAATGTCAACTGTTCTGTAGGGCTACTGTAAAAATGCACAATTGTCAGATAAAACAAGACCAGAAGTACTGACATGGACTATAACAATGTGGTAAGGCTTTAAGATCATTTTATTACAACATATTCAACCACTCTGTTTCTCAAATGGATTACAATGATTCAACACATGCTTAACTGTAAACAGTATTCAACAAATGATTTGTTTCCACATAATAATTTACAACTTATGCACTTTTTGCTCACAATTACTGCCTAGTATGATTCAACATTTAAGTATACTGGATTCATTTCTTTTGTTTGAGAAATTATTAGCCATTAAAGATAAACATTTTTTCCCCTAGTTTCAATGTAACTTTTTATCTAGCTGCAATCCCTTCGAAGAAATCATAAACATGTATTCTGAAACTCTTTCATGCAGAAATCTAATTACACTTATTTACCACAAAACTAACTGGTAACAGACCTTGAAGAGAAAACCAACTTTTTAATTGTAGTTACCATTATGTATAATTAAAGATACTGAATTGCTCCTGGGTTTGGTTCAACCTTAGCCAACATATTTCTTCCTTCTCGGGAATGGACACACATGATTAGACCAATGTCTAGCTGACTTTAAAACTTTTTTTTTTATTTAAACAATATGATCTATGATACATTTGTTCCATTCAAATCACAAGAGCTTTCTGTTTCTTAAACACTCAATTTTCTTGTATAAATTCCATTTTATAAAATTGAAAAATTTCATTGTGTTGGTTCTTGTAATACCTGCTAAGTTCCACAACTGAAGTGTGCAAAAAATAAAAAATACTATCAAAGACACTGTTATATCAGGAGCAATATTTAATAATAAAGGCTTAAAAGCTTCAAATTTAGTGACAATATTGCCTCTAACTTTATCAGTTTGAATTGTTTTGAAATCCAACATGATGGAGATAATAGCATTGCAAGTTGTGTACAAACAGTCACAGTTCTGGTCTCTTGTCGCTACTGGATTTTTGAGCAAAAGCTAAGTATGTAATTTGTACTGATGAAACCAAAAGAATTAGCCATAACACTACTTTCAGTATGGTATTCAAGTTATATTTTTAATGTGGTCTAGAAATGAAAAATAAATAAAATAAATAAATAAGTAATAATAATAATAATGAAATTTTATGACATATTAGCCTACATTCAGTTACTGAATACATCTTATTCTATTACATTTGACTTTTTTGACTGATAAACTTATGCTGATAAAAGTTAATCTAGGCCAAAACTTTGTGTGTGAATGATATAAAAACCTATAATAACCATGTAAAAAAATACAGCACAGAAAAAGTAAATAATTCTGGCAATTTTAGTGTTATTTTTTAAGTTGATACTTAAACTAATTCCAAGCAATAGCCTGACCATCCAGTGATGGTCCTTTAGTCCGAGGGCTTATTATTCAGAAGGCCCAATAGTCTAAAGATGCAAGTTTTTGTCCTTTTAAGAGTTAAAATGTTGAATTAATTGTTTGGTTAAATTTGTGAAATCTTATGACAAAAATATCCTAAAATATGACCTGAAAAGTTGCAATTTCTTATGAATGGTTGGATAATGTTTATCATTATTTACCTAATGTTATTTTCTTGTATACAAGTATAGTGCAAGCTGCAGACCCCGTACATATGTATACATCAGGATTGGATTTGGGAATTTAGCTCTTCTGAGAGAATGGACATTCTTATTCCATAGTGCTGTGATAACAGATGTTATATCCCTGACTCATTATACTTTTCATTTGAGATTACATTCATCTATTACAGCCCTACATTCAATTTTGACGTATGTTGCATAAACCAAAAATCTGTGACTGTCATTGATCATCCAACCCACAGCACAAGGATGATATATAAAAGATTACCTTATGTTTTCTATTAAAAAGCACCTTTATACAGAATCAGAAATAACGCACCAGATATATCTATAAGCATTTAAAATATCATCCTGTACATTACATTGTGTGATAATCTATAATTAAGTTACTGCAACTTCTGGCAAATGATATCGTCTACCAAAATCATCTTAAAGCTTTTAACATGTGCACACTAAAGTAATGTTATAGACCATTCATATTATAAAAATAACCTATGAAATTGAAATATTCTTTGTGTGCTCCAAAATACATGAAAAGTTTATCTTAGACATTGTACCTAACAGTTCATGAAAACGTGTTACTGTCTATGATGACAAAATACAGCGAATCTTATATTCATATCCCATAATTTAATACATAATTATCTGAATAGTCTCCAAATTATTTAAATTCTAATTAGGCTTAGTCTTACATAATCCATAATCTATATCAACAGGATATTCAGCTTAGCTCAAACTTAATCAGCTCTAGAAATATAATTGTAACTGTCAGAAATTTCCTTTATTTTCATGTATAGCCTGCCTGACAAATTTTTGCTATTAACATTTTAGTCATTGCACCAACACTAAGATTTTCATATTTCTAATAATCATAGCTATATACAAGTTGAAAAACAAAACCTAACTTTGCAAACTTAGGCTGTCTTTTCGCTATCATATTCCCATAGAAGATCATACCTTTAGATATGCAGGCATGCTTTCTGAACTATGATAAACTGTCAATAATATGCTTTACCACTATATCTTGATAAAAGAGTTACCACAAAGGATCACATATAAAGTGTAATAAACTTAAATTAAGACCCAAAACTCGAGTGCTTTCGAATGGTTGACTGTTCTTCTTCAGGAGAACAAACATGAAGAATAGTCAACTAATGAAAAGCGCTCGAGTTTTGGGGTCTTATTTTACGTTCTTTACCACTAAATATAAGCCTCCTACGTGTGTGAACCAAGTTATACAGAATTCTTCCAAGTTTGATGACGAGGAACCCACTTTGAGACTAATAATGCTTGGAGGCAGCTTGAATGGGTAATGAAGAAAAACTTTAATATAAGTTTAACCTAACTGCAAGTGAACAACTTGACAAGGTTTTATCATCATCATATATTAAAGTTTTTCTTCATTACCCATTCAAACAGTCTTCAAGCATTATTCTTCCTAGTTTGTTTGTATAATCACACCTTGTATACAAATTGAATTCTAGAACTTACTACAATACAGTTTTTTTTGTTTCTTCTTATCATTAGCTATGCTGGCCTGGTGTCAAGAAAATACGTAGTATAAATATTACTTTTCTAATATTTTCATCTTGTATAAATTTGCTCTGATACATCTTCTTCAATACAGAGATAAGGCATTTTAAATAGATATTTTAGCTTACAGCCAAACAAAGCAGATGTCCGAGTTTAATTCATATTATCACGGCTTGAGGTTCCACAGCAGGTGAATATTTACACATCCTGCTTCTCATCCACACATGACAAGCTAATTCAACCCTGCAAGGCTGAATTCATACATCTTACTCAAGATAGGATAGGATATGCTTTGATCTACATTTTTCTCTTCCTGAAAGTAGCTATGACTGAAAGTTTTGTCACTGGTTGGAAGAAATAATTGGTACTGTATATTTCAAAACAAACTGATTAACAAGCTTTTGAAATATTCAGTTTCTTCATTCAGTCAAACATGTGCTCTCAATCATTTTGTAAAGTGTTGTATAACTATCACAATAAATTTATATCAATCATCTGAGTATAACAAAATGCTAAACATATCAATAGTAACTCATTCAAGTTGTGACCAATCACCACTTCAAACACCACCCCATTTCACAATACAGGTTGCAAGACATTACTATACAGCTCAACTCCAGAATGCCAGCGTGGAGTCACTATGACCCCATACAAGTTACATTTGTATATTAAACTAGTCATGCTGCTTTCTAGGGTTAAGCATCCATCTCTCTCTCTCTCTCTCTCCAAGACCAATACATCTTAATTTATTGTAAATTGTTACTGCCTGCCACAGTATTTCCTTTTCCATTTTTAAACCATTTAATGATAGACAGAAAAACAACATCCTTAACCTCAGCATCTTAAGTTGTTTGCTACACTACTTAAGTTCAGTACTAGCCTGTAAAAGCACTACTGAGATGTAAAGTCCCCAATTCTAGGCTGTAACTTCATGTAACTTCACCCTCTTTGAAACAGTGTATCGGCATTTTCATTGTTTCATTAAAATCAATGAACTAAGTAAAGTCACACTTCTTTAATTTTCGTAAAAGTAATCTTATTATCTGGATTTCAATTCTGATCTTTCCTGAATGGTTTTCAGTGTCAAATGATCATTTGCGAGCGTAAATTTGTGTCCATACAGATAGTGATGGAAGTGGCTTATTAACAGTTTCTTACCTTAGTTTCAAAATCTTCATTACAGATCTACTGATGAAGGCAATCTTGTTTTTTTTCTTCACATTGTGATTTTAATAAATACATTCTCACTGAAGACTAGTGTTTAATACGAGTTATGGACCTCCAGAAGTCTGATAACCTCAGACTGGGTTAATTTAACAATATCTTTGAGCCAGTGATTGTTTATTGACAATATCCTGTGAAGCAGTACTTGTGTTTTCTTTCTTATATCTCATAAAAAGGACTGGGTATGTCAGAAAATGATTTTATAAAGCAACAGTAGTAAAAATCTTATAATGTAATATATGCTTTTCAGTATAAGGAGAATGGTTCTAAAACTGTTGTCTGAGAAATGGTCTCAGTAAA